GCCGCGACTGCCGCTCCACTCCCTGCTAAGATATCCAAGGCAGTGGGAGATCCCACTGCCTGAGCCTCCGCTCCGGCTTGATCTCCTGTTCTCGAAGGGGTCGGCGCCGCAGTCACTCTTGTCGCCCCTGCACCGCCCACTTCTACTGCTTGCTCCTCCGGCGCGATCTGCGCGGAAGGTGTCTTCACCGGAGGTGTGTCCGCCGAAGGCGCCCGCACAATGATCGCCGGGTCTATCCGATTCGCAGTCGGCGAATCTGGCCGACTCTCAGTTGACTGACTCGCAGTCGGCCGACTAGCAGTTGTCCGACTGGCAGTCAGATCCACTCTGCATGTCTTCACTCCACTTGGTCGCTTCGCTGGAGGCGCTTCCTCAGAAGCGTCTTCTTCCGAAGACGACTCCTTGAGAGTCATTGGCTCTGCAGCCAAACTCTCTTCTGCTTCCGGTCTGCTGTCCGGTTCAACACGTTGTTCTCGCCGACCTGCAGTTGGCCGACCTTCAGTCGCCCGACTCGTAGTCGCCCGACTCGTAGTGGGCCGACTCTTAGTTCGCCTGACTTCTTCCGAAGGCATCTGCGCCTTCTGCGCAGAGGGGTTCATCGACCTCCCCAGAATCTGCGCGATTATCTCCTCCTGCGTGGGCAGAACATTCCGCCGGACCGGAGTACGCCCGGTCTCCACACTGCTAGTCGGCAACACCAACTTACGTGCCCTCTGCTTCGGCCGGCTGTAAAGCTTGTGGGTTGGCCGACTCCGAGTCGGCGCAGCGGGAGCTTCCGGCTGCCTGTCTTCTGGCCTCTCATCCCATTTCCGCTTCCGCGGTGCGCGCTCACGTCGATGCTCTTCTTTTGCTCTTGCCGGAGCCGGAGCTGGACTGGCAGGTGCTTCGTCCGGATCTGTGTCCACTTCAGCCTCCCGCAAGTATCTACCCGGATTACTCCGGGTCAGCAGCGGAAATCGCGCCCGCTCTGAAGCTGTCAAACATCCCATCGCTCGATAGAACACGATCAGGTAAGGCGAAAGATGATTGAGGGTACCTCCTCTCTCTTCTTGCGCATGTTGGCGCGTCACCTTCCACAGGAGCCGTGCCCAATGAATCGGAGCTCCTGACAACACTAGCTCCACAAATCCCACTTGCCAACCATGCATGTAGGCGGTCTTGGTCGGCTGCAATATTTGAAGCAATGCAGTCGCGACATTTCTCCGTAATCGATCGTTCTTGGGATGCCTGCCAACCTTGAAAAGATCATTGTAGGAGTTCTCTTCCTCCTTCGACACCTTCACGCTTTCGGCCTCGAAGAGGAGATATCCTTCCTCGCCTGCACACCTTCCTAATACCTGCGTCCAGTGACTAATGTCCCACCGCTCTTGATGGGGGCGGAATCCGCGCGCGGGCCGGTGTCTCTCCCACAAATATTCGCGCACCATCTCCGGACACGTCCAATTCCATCCCCACAGGAGGAAATCAAGCTTCAACTTCGTCAACACATCCTGGAATGCGCGCAGACCGATCTGCGGCACTCTGTGTGGAGACACTCGCAGCTGGGGGACCTTCGACATATTTCTTGCTCCCTCTTGCACACACAAACGCTCTTCCCTCCCGCTCGATCTCTCACAATCGCCGCTGCGCGTCGGCCGCTCAGACACTAACTGAAATTGCTCTCTCCTCCCTTGCGCGCTCAATTTCTCTACTCTCAAACTCTCTGCAGGGTCCGTCAAGATCCTCGGGCAATTCGCCTCCACGCGCCTGGTTGCTACGCACTCCTTCCTGCTCACTGATTCCTGCACTCTCTCCAACTCATTGAAGATCTCTCCGCCCGATTGAGCTGCACGCCTCAAGCTCTGAAGCTGGAAAACTCAAAATCAAGAATGAGAGAATGAGAGTGGAGAGCAGACTTTTCTTCTCTGAAATCAAGATCGCACAATGCTCTTCGTAGGCAGTGGGTTACAACCCCACTTGATTACGCTGCCGGCTATGCGGCCTAACGGTTCTCCCTCGCATGCTCGAATTCACGCCTCCGCATTGCGCGCACTCGCATGCTTGAACGTTGAATTCTCCCGCCGTCATCGTCCGCTGGCTCTGAGTTCGTCATCGCCGAGGGCTTCCGACCTCGAGTTCGCCGAAGGCGTAATACTCGCCGAAGGTGTACGCCGCGGTGGAGCGTACGCTCCGACTATTTTGTCTTTTCCCAACCTGCCCATCGCCGGAGGTGTATCGCCGAAGGCGTACTCCTTCTCCGTCGGCGCCTCGCTAGAGGCGCACATCAAGTCGGCGCGAATTACGCCGACACGTACTTGTACAACTTCTTTTGTCCGTTCTGCCCCGCATATCGCCGAAGGCGCGTATCCCGCCGGCGCAAATTATGCCGGCGCATCTGCCTGTCCGCGCAACGCCGGAGGCGTACATCAGGTCGGCGCTTCTCTTCCGCGGCACAGCCGCCGAAGGCGCTTCCGCCTCCGACTTGATCTCCTCTCATGAGCGCGTGGTTCCGCCAAAGGCGCATCGCCGAAGGCGTACGGGGGTCCTTCCCGAAGGTGAATCCTAGCGCGAACAGCGCATCGCCGGATGCGAGTTTACCGATGCTTATAACTTCCTCGTCCCTGATCCATCTCAGGCGTTCTTGGGCTCGTTAGAACGAGCGTCCCGAGCTCTTTCCAATGAGACCTTAACCAAATAGAACTACCGTGAATCCTGATCGTTATGAAGGTTTCTCTCCCGCGCCAATGGCGCATCTCCGAAGTCGCACTCCAGGTCGGAAGCATTTAGAGGTCCTTGCCGGCTTCTGACGTCTTCAGCGACATCTCCTCCGAAGGTGTCTGTGCCAAAAGCGTACCTTCCCTACGCGCCGGAGGCGCGTGGGTAAAGACACCTCAGCAAAGGAGATGTTGCCGAAGGCGCCGAAGGCGTTTCGCGCCGTTGCGCCCAACCGTTGTGATTCTTCGTGACCCGCGATCTCCTCAATTCACTCTATTTATCGTACCATTTCTTAATTACAGATACTGCTTCGGTACTTCTTTTTCAAAATTGTTTAAATTCCGCGAAAAAACAAAAAGTGTGTTACCACAGAAACCCCTGCTGGTAATAAGAATTTATGTTTAACAATATTAGTGTACATATATATATATATATATGAGCAAAGGTACTTAACCTAAGCCAAAATCTTTAAAACTAAACATTAGCACTATTAGAGTAGCATTAGTGTCTCGGTAATTTTAACACGAAGAGGGAGACGTAGCATCAGAGAGATTGCAGACTTCGGCCGGGTATTTTCAGATGTAAGTTTCTACCGAGACTCAGAAGAATAAGAAAGGGATTAAAACGATACCTGAAACATTGTGGATCTATCAAGTTTGTGAAATGATGGCATCTCAAACCAGGTCCTGGATCTCCAATGTCCAAGATTCACTGCTTTGCAGGCGTTGATTTATGGATCAATGTTTGCATCAATACAGCTACCTTCAAGCGAAAGCTCTAATTGCAATGGCTTCACGTGGAAACGCGTCCCCGCGACTCCTGAGGGCAAATATATGTAGGACTCGAGTTGAATTTTAATCGTCGATTTAGTCCAAATTCCAGCTCACGCGTCAAACGATGAGAAGATGAATGAAGCACCTATGAATTTCTTTCAACCTCTGAATGCCATACGGAACCTGAAAATCTAGAAGGGTATCCAGTAGGATGACGTTTTCTAGGTTCGAATTCTCAAAAAGCTACTGGCATCTAGATAATTACTGAGCATAATATGAAGATTGCGTGCTCAAATGTTTCACCGGCTCTTACCTGTTCCATCTCTTGGAGATTTATGCCTGAAAGCTTTTATGACCTGAACAGATCCCAACAACATAACAACTTGATTGGACGGAGAGCTGGCTTCGAGTTCAAGTTTGCGAAAATTTGAACAACTATAAATCCCAAGAAAATTCAAGAAAATAATTTAGATTCTGTATCATTCAAAAATCAACTCAAACATTATGTTTCAAAATTGAATGTGATGGGGAAAAATAATGCATTTTGAAAAACACATTATTTGACTATTTACTTAAGATGATATTCATGGTGATGAACCTCAAGATGATTTTATGTTGAGTTCATTGCTTCTTGTTAAATAAAACCTTCATGTTTAGCTAATCTCACTACCCACTTTAAACTCCCAATAATGATACATATTGGTGCGAGGTTTTCACGTCTTTATTGGGAAGTGTCACTCATACAAGCTTGGGTAGCATTTGGCGGATCATATAAAAACATTCTTATTGTATGTTTTGAGTATCCACTAAATATGTAACAGATAATTTGGCGGATAGTTTAATTCTTGACATCTTGTGTTCGAATTCAATATGGAATTGTCTTCAGTAAACGTAACCTTGGGTCTTCGGGGTAAAACATAGTTATAAATTATGGACAATGAGTAAATAGAGCTAAGGTATCCAAGGTAAATCAGAGTCATAAATAGTGAATAAATGGAGTAGTGGAGTAAATTCGGAGAATAATTTCAATTTTTTTTCCACCTGTAAAATGTTCGGAAAAAAAAATTGAAAGTGCATGATTATAAATATATTTAAATAAATCAAAGTTACAGAACCAACAATTATATTTTTCCTGGAACACGTTGTGGGGGAACGCAATCATGAGGCAGGAGCAATCGCAAGGAAGTACTGGTGCAACGAGGGAAGTCAAGGCATGGTACATGGTGTCACATGGGGAGATTGTCATATACAAGATGACCATCTCGGTTGGTACACGTGGCAGGTTTGACACGTGAACCAACCACGATGGTCATCTTGTATTCGAAGATTCATTGAGATGTTGCTCTGGACAGTTTTCTGTTCCAGCGTTGTACTTTCCGGCCCAAGGTTGCATGTCAAATTAGTTTTACTGCAAAATTCTAGTTTTTCCAGAGGGCTACTCCCACTCTGCACGGAGGTCTCGTTAGTAATAGAGGTTGAAAGTCAGACTACTCACAGGTCTCGTTAGAAACAGGAGTAGAAAGTCAGACATCGAGTCGCAACTTACTTTCGACATAGAAATGAGGTACTCGACTGACACTACAGACTGCGGAAACATCACCAAAGAGTAGATTGTTGACTTCCTACGTCATGGATTTTTGGACTGTCTACATCTGGACGTTCAATCAATAGATTGATGACTTTCGGTACATGAATCTGGCCAGATTTATTCTATCGGGGGAGAAGCAGCCGCTCAGAAGGCGTCATCAGAAGACGACGGTCAGGGCTTCTCTGATGCGCCCCTCGTTTCGTAATATACGGATGTAGAAGTGGAAAGTGTCGAGCTCACCGGAGGTGCCTTAAGAATCGACGACAGTGTCAGCCTCATCTCTTAAGCAACTATGTGCTGCTCATGAGCGGAGCGACCACTATGAAATCTGGAAGACGATGCTAGAAGCAGTGCCGATGAGAACAGGGGGATCGCAGTGGCAACAGACTCGTTCTCAGCGAAATGTCGATGGAAACGAAGAGCGGCTCCATCTGGCTATCTCCGATTCGTCGTCTTCGAGACGCGATTAAAGGCTTCTGGAGTTCAGATGAGAGTTTGAAGACATCCGCTTCAAATGACGCAATTCTTCATCCTTCTCCACACATCTGCTGTCCTATGAACTGTAACGAAACTTCGATGAGTACATACAGCTGAAAAAATATTTCCAGTTGCGGCCGTTTTTCACATTCTGAGCCACAAGCGGCGTAGTACACAGAGGCTCTTCATGCTCGGTCAATTCTAGAGCCACAATGTAAATTTTACCTTGTTCGTCGTGTTGCTTAAATGTGCAATGATCTTGATTGAACTCTTCACATTTGTCGAAGGCGCAGGTTCCAGAAGAAGAGAGTTCCAACGCACGTGCAACGGAGAAGGCATTTAGTTCCGCCCCTCGCCTCAATGACGAACTGTTTGTGCTGTACAAACCACCGGATGGACTACCTTATGACACGGAGATAATATTCGTGCACGACCTATATACTGAAGGATCTAAAGAAGCCTGGAGGACGACATGGACCAACGACGATGGCACATGCTGGCCGAGAGAATTCTTGGGAAAAAAGTTCCCAAGTTCTCGTATATTATTGGTGTCTTATGATGCTTGTGTGATTACGAATAGTACCCAGGGCCGAATGGATTCCTTGTCCATCGTTGCAGAAAATATGATGGGAAATTTTTTCCTTCAAAGTGGCAATGTTGGGCAGACAAAAAACTGCCCAGTTTTGTTCGTCGGGCATGGTCTGGGATGCTTCGTCATCAAGAATCTGATGATCAAAGCGTGTGTAAGATATATGTGTAACAAAGAGGAAAAGACGAAATTGTTGAGGAACGTAGGGGGCTTTGTCTTCTATTCTCCTTTCAACTCCGGAGTCCAATGGGATCTGTATGCAGATGAGTCTCGTCAAAGGAATTCACTGACAGACTGCATAAGACCACACAGTGCAGAACTTAGCCGACTCAATGAAGCTTTTCGAAGCCTTCGACGCCGTATGCAGGAGATGCGAAAATCAAGGGTGTTGTGGTCGGTTTTGACTATCTGCGAGTCACATGAAACAGCATCAAGAACGGTGAGTCTCTCTAGCGATCACAGCTGAAAGTGGTAGATGAGATTTTGATCCGCATGAGATTGTATGAGTTGCAGAGTTTTGCAGTATCTTTCTAACTCTTCTTCAGTTTATGATGATCTTCCGAGAGTAACTTAAATCTCTGCTTCTATATCAGTCCTTTATTATTGGTGAAAGCGTGAACTGCAAATTGACAGATGGACATGATGGGGAGACTATAAAGCTGTGGATGATTGCAATGTGCTTGATTCGAGATTTGTGACCCCTTCTTCTGTTCTGCTGCTCATGTCACTGCGTACTGCAGTATGAATCAAGAATCTGCTAAGCCGTCTCCTCGTATGGAGTGACTAAATCTTCATTCTCGCTCTATTGCGATGCAGCGTGGCCGCTCGCAAAGATCAGGAACCTATGTTTCAGAGGGAACGTCTAGAGTCGACTGTGAAACTTTCCACTTTGGAGTTGGTGACCATTTTCATGTTTGCAAACACCAGTCAACAGGAGACGTTGGATATCAATTCTTAGAAAATCGGCTGGATTTTATTTTGAAGAGTTATAGAAAGTCTAGGATCAACTCCATCCCCAAATTTGATCCGACAAGTATTGAAAACTATTTGAGAACAATTCCTTCCCTGGAGCTGTTCAGGGACCTTTCTCCTTGCAGAATCCCTTCCTACAATTACGGATCTTACAATTACGGGTCCTATAATTACGAATCCTACAATTCCCACAATTCCCACAACTCCCACAATTCCTACAATTTCACAGTCCATCATGGAGGCTGGGATGAGATATGACCCACAAGGATATCCAGTCGACTGGTCCCTGGATTGCCAGGTAAGGGAGAACACAGCTTTTCTTGCCCATTTTGAACCTGGAACTAGTGGTGAGTCTTTTAAGTTTCCTCATCTGAAAATTTGTTATCCATGTTCGGATGTCTTTGCAGCTGAAGAGATATTGAAATTAGTCACAAGTCTCAGTGATGAGCATATGTATGAAAAATACAGAAATGTCCTCGACTTCTGCTGACCAGTTTCAACATGGACACACCTCGTTTTGGGTGACACAGGACTGCTATACAAGCAGCACACTCCTCCGAGAAGCACAGAGTGTGAACCTTTCTTGTCATCCAAGAAGAAGCTATGAAGGTTGAGGGCCATTGCAGCTATGCTTGTAAAGTTGCCATTGCAGCTACGCTAGTAAAGTTGCACCAAATCGTGTTGATTTTTATTTGTGGGATGAAGCTGGGGTGTCAAATTGTCTAGGAATGATGTAAATATGGCCTGCTGTGAAATGCACGTGCGAATCAGAGAGTAATGTTTTGAAGAACTAGCTTGTCGCATGCATCAATGCCAATGAAAAAGAAATTCGCTAGGTCTACGTTCTGCTTGACAGCTGGTTCTGATCGGGGTGAGAAAAACGTGTTGATGACCAAGAACTACAACTCCAAACTGTGCGGCCAAGGTGTTGATGATGACAGCCTGTAGGTAAGTTGTATGGTTGGATAAAGATTAGTAATGTACCAAAGAAAGATAAAAACAGAGTAGCAAACATTTTAAGTTCCTTGAACAAAAGTTTTGAAAGGAGGAGTCCCAATTTCTAGTGAACTTTACAAGGGGAACAGAAGAAGACATTGCTTTTGAGTAGGCCAGGAAAACACAAAGCAACAAATCAAAACTTAGGGTCTTGAAACAATCAAAGCACCATTCATAATATGACGCGTCCTCTGCCATTAAAAGAAACTATCACTCTGTTGTGATTTTCTGAAAGCCTATACTTAGCAGAGCCCGACATTTTACTTCAAATCTGCATCTAGACCAGACCATAACCATCAGCAGCGACATAAGCCCACCCATAGCATTACCTGTGCCCAACCATGCCCACTTTTGCTACTCAAATTATGCAAATTCTTGGCTGGATCTTGACAAACCACTGCCCTTAGTATTACTTGTGCCCACCCATGGGAAAATAATGTCACCCAAAACCCACCCATAACCCATGGGCATGGGTGGGTTTGGGCATGGGCACCCAATGTCGGGCTCTGATACTTAGTGAAGATCATGCACGCGATTTTTCCAGTATCGAGGATTTCAGTCGAACGAGATGGAGTGAGATTGATCAATTTATTTCGCTGCAAAAAGAAAAAAGTTCAAATTTGTAGCAAGATTTGATGAATGATCAAGAAAGCCGGTTCCATATAGACTAATCTTCTGCATCAGACCCACAAGGATTAATGAGCAATTGCTTCTACCTCGAACTATGCACTACCCTGCTAAATATTCTGCTCACTTCGTCTTCTCAGTAAGAAAAGGAAAGGTATGAAACCAGAAGATAGTGCCATGAGATTGTTCTTCAGCTGCCTGTCTGCTTCCATCTAAAACGTGCGTTTCTACCTCCAAACGTGTAATTTATTTGGAGAGAGCAATCGCTTTCGCTGTATCAATTTATGACTGCAAGTCGTTTGCCATATCATAAGCGCCGCATCATGATTCGTCACTGGATGACAAGGATGCAAAAACATTAATGGTAAAACAAGCTCTATTATTAAATGAAAGCTTCCGGAAGCTCCGTACTTGCTTAAAAGGGTCGGTCGTTTACAGTAGGCAGGAAAAATCCAGGACCACCTTCGACGGGCCCTCAAAAGCTGCTGTTTTGGTACATATGGCTTCATAGATCTGAAATTAATTGCCCCATTCGTTGCAGTCGACGCAGAGCCCCATGGATCCGAAGATGGTCAGAACAGTGTTCTCGCCTGCTCTCATCAGCAATGTGTAAGAGGTAGTGCAGTTGCTCTGGCAGCATGGCTCCGATCGGCTGATCCGACAGGGAGAATGGCATGGGGAGCATAGGGGCTTTCCAACTCTGTAAGCAGAAGACCTGCGGCTCCTGCTGAGCCTGCACTAGACCTACAGCCACCGATAGTGCGAGGAATTGCACTGTCCCGACAAGTAGCAAGAACTGGAATGGCATGATCTTTTGATTCAGAAAATTACAGGGGAGAACTTTATCACCGGTACTAGTACGCTCGAAGTGAGACATGTATGACAATCTCTGCAGTCTGAAGGCACGTTTCATACTGGTATCCTCATAATCACTAGTTTTGTGTGTGATTGTAGACAATAGATTTGCTTCGGCTGTACTTGCCTTATCCAAAATACCCACAGAATCGAGTTCACGTCAGCGCATGGCTTCCAAGAACTGTACCTGTAGTTACTTGTATCATGCGGTATAATATCTTCATCTCATTATGAACATACAAACAATTTGCTCTGATCAGAATTTGTGAACAGACATTCTGGGAGGGTCGAGGAATCGTAGAGAAGTTCGCTGTACATCATTCTTCGACATGCTTAGAGGTTACGAAGTGAGTCAGCATTCATAAATCTCTCAACTGATCTGATGCGTCTGCTTCGATATGTGCCGACCCCTCATTCGATATTCACAATTAACTGCAATTCTTCACTTGAAGAGTCTGACGGTTGAGATGTACAAGTCTCCAGCAGCCGACGAGTTTGAACCTGCTGTCTTCGATACAAGCAGATACAATCACATAGATTGTGGAAGCTCTAGATGAAGCGTAGCCGGAGTCCTGTGGACAGTACTCTCTCTTCTCTTCGAATTCTCGGTCACTTTTGAAGTCTCAGTCAATCTGGACGTTGACAAATTGGAAATCATTATAGTTGATGTGATTTATTTCAGCGATCAGGACACATTGTCACATTACCACGGGCCTCTAAGGTGAGATGCACTTTATCTTCTCTCCATGTGCATAATTTATCTACGTCCTGAGTCAAGCACGGGCTTGCAGTTACTGAGGAATTCCCATAAAATTCAGATCGTAGATAGGTACGAGTGGAGTGCAATTCACCTCCTAGCACTCTTTGAGCCTCTGTATGCATACAGTGTGCTCTGGTTGGAGTGTGTGTGGGTGTGTGAATAGTTTTATCGTGCTATCTAATCAAAGCATTTGAGATGGGAGGGATAGGATAGATGGGAGGGAAAATTTCACAAACCAGTTTTGGAAGACTGTGGCACAGCCCTACAATACCAGCACATATCATTTGGAAATCATGAGGTGGGAATTGGAAGATGTGAGGGCCAGAATCGCACACATGCTTTCAATAATTGGATACAGATCCAGTCTGTCATCAAATCACGCATGCAAATTGCACTGCATCCTGAATCACCCCATCTATCTTCGACTAGGGTGGATCAGGATCTATAATCTTCAACAGTCCGCCAAGGTTTCACCTTCAGTAGAAGAATATGATCTCGAATTAAAATGGAGCATTTTATTGATCACAAGAGGTTGATGTGAGGAGCCCACGCCGAATTCAAGACGATGTCCTGAGGAAACTTTCGACTCAAGCCCTGAATAACTCTATTAACCTCGCCGAGCTGCATGTCCTGGCAGCCCTGGGTTTCCTGCACAAATCTCCCGCAACTAAACGATGGGGCACATGCGTTTTCCGCCCAAAGATATTTACTGGAAAGTTACAATCTGTAGAATCAAAACCATAGGGGTGCTCGTTCATTAAGTAGCCGGAGATGTTTTTCCAAGATCTGCAATTGACTGATCAGAAAGACTAAACCCTAAACCCACCCAAAATTTTGACAATAAAAGATGAGAATGAGACTCAAAAATGGGCATTTCAGGTACGGTTGATGTTTCCACGGGATTTGCACCGTCCGATTGCACTAAGCCCAGTATGATGCTTGAATCTCCTTCCAAGGCAATTTTTAGAATTTCTAGAATTGCGGTTTGTGACTACCAGTCTCTTTGCAGTTGGACATGGAGGATACTGCGGAGTGCTGGCTCTGTCGCTAGTAGTGGTTCTTTTCGTTGAAAGCCTTCTTCATTTTACTAAAAATTGCATTTGCTTGATCAGAAGCCTGCACACCAAAGCAGAATAAGTATCTAAACATTCAACAGAGTGTCATAAATTATACACATGTTGCTATATAGATCAGAAGCAAAAGAATCAGAAGAAAAAGGGAATTTGATTTGGATCTAGGCAGAAGTTCGATTTGCCCATGTGGGGTTACGCACCCTCGGAGACACCGAGTTACCATTCCAAATACCAAATCCCGCGAACAAGTACACTAGGCTGATGTTTGTAAGCTTGCGCAGTTTATATCTGAATGCGTCCGATTTGTGCTCCTCCTCTCTTATACAAGCAAACATGGTGGGCTCTCAGCTTTGGGCTGTTCTGAAATCTAAATGGAATCGCCAACATGGATCTGGAGAAAATTTCAAATAGGGTACTGGTGACAGTACAGAAATTAGCGAGATGAGGATGTTATGCACCTGTTTCAGAACCGTCCCTGTCACTTGGCTATGCTTGCCACCGTCAGAAAGTAAACTCTTTGCCTTGATCGGTGCCGTCGATTCAACTGCATTCTCTTCGATCTGATCACCTTCAGTTGTGCTTCCAGCAGCGCATACTTCGGCCGGCTCAGCTGCAGTTCTAGGTTCCTCCTCAACATTAGTTTTATCTTGCGACATGCTTTCAAACGCTTATTCGATACAAGTCGAGGCGATCAAGAACTGCTGTGAAATGGTGTCCAGCAGAATTCAAAAAAACACTCGAACTGATTGCTTGTCGGAAGTTTTTGCATTGTTTCAGTGCTTTGAAGAGCATCCAGCTTTTATGAGACAGAGCTCTTGGTTTAGTCTAGTACGGGAACACGCCAGGGAACACTTTTCTATGGCAGGTCACGGATCAGTGGTATATCAACATCTGTCATTTCTACATTCGCAGAAGTCGACGGACAATGGAACGCACCTCGCTGTCAGTTCAGCTCTGGTGATGAAGAGATCATGACTCATTGCACAGAACTATCTGCTACGATGGTTACTTGTCATACCTACGCAATATCTTGTAGACAAAGATTTTCAGACTGTGAACCAGTGAAAAAGCATCTACTTTCATTCATTAACAGTGGGCTCCATTCCACAAGTAGTATTTTGGTTTGGGATAACGTGAAACTAAGAGTCGATGAATCTAATCTTTCCCAATGGTACAGTCAAAAGATGCATGGTCTGACAGCGGGAAAGGTCCTGGAGCTGTAGTCAATATAATGCAATCCTAGTCTGTAGCCCTCAAAGTACACGCATGATTCTTACAACTAATTGCGAAAGGCTTATTAGTTGAACTCATTAGTATTCCCGTAGCATCGATGTCCGAAGTCTATGGTCTGGAGTCTATTCACATCGCTCAGATGAATCCTGATATCATCCACTTTCTAGAGGTAGTCAACTTATCAATACTTAGTATAGCTGAGTATATTATACATTTTCCAAAGCTAAGCATTACTCATTATGGAGGTTGCGCTAAAACATGATTCTCCACCGCAGCATTTACTTTTGATTTGATAAAAGAAGAGCATGCTTCGACGCACTGGTCACGTAGGTACCAGATAGATTTCAATCCATATCCGTTGCCAGGAATTTTTCTTAACGTGATTTCATCTGCCACGAACGCAATTGCAACAACCATTTCACACAAACATTAGCAAATTGTAGCGCATCAAAGGTTTGATACTAAGGGAATCTAAGAATAATGTCCCACCGAGTGGTGAAATTGTGAGTTATGCTTCTTTTAATTTTATGGAACGTCGCCTTCTGAATGTACGAACAAATACAAATACGCCAATTTCAAGGCAACATTCTACCAATCTCATATGCAATAAACCCATGAGGTAAAATTTAATTAATTGCTAGCGGACGATAATATCAAATTTATAACAGATAATATAACGTACCTTCTTGATCACAACAAAGGAAATATTAGTGTTGAGTCCTACTATTGCATGTTCCGCGACATCAACTCAACTAGCTTTGTGAGAAAGCAATTTCAAAATCTATCCCGACTATATTGACTAACTCTTGCAATAGCAAAAATATGTGATGATATCTAGTACTACTCTTATATGTAGATCAAAATTGCTACACAATTTTTTTATAGCTAAATCTTGGGATGGTTTTATTGTCCTGTAATCATGTTTCTATATGCTGTGCAAATTTAGCTATTATGGCATAAATTTTTTGCATATTGCGGTCAGTGTGTTGCTTTTGAATCCACATAGTTTCATGAATCTTTCAAATTACAATAGTGTATAATTTATGTTTTTATGCAGTTTGTATCGTAGGAAAATGTCACATCTTTCAGGGATTCCAACTGCTTTATCTTTACCATATGACTTGGCAAAAAGCTCGTGTGCACCCATCACTCTGCACTTTAAGGTTCACTCGTGACCTTTCCTTACCATTAAATTGGAGAGACTGGTATATCTGTCTGCCAAAATTATGCTTTAGCATCACAAAGTTCAAACAAATCTTCTTCTCCAAATTATTTGTTTGGATCTTTTTCTCTTCTGCCTCATGCTTCTCCAAGCATGTTGCTATAGCTCGATCGATTCTTGAAGAGTATTGGTCTTGCTCCCCGCTTCGTATACCTAAATCCAACGCCGGAGGAATCTTCGAACATCAATTCTTTTGAGATTTCTTCGTTAAGATATGATTGGTACAAAATTCATGATAAATTTTGTTTATCAATTATTTGTCTCTCAAAATTACGCTTTAGCTTCTCAAATTTCACGCAAGTTTTCTTCTCCCATATTTTTAAATTGAATCTTTTTCTCTTTCGCCGCCTAATGCTTCTCCAAGCATACTACTACAGCTCAATCGATCCTTGAAGAATGTCGATCTTGCTCTTTACTTGGTGTACCTCAATCTATCTCGGGACTATTCTTTATATATCCATTGTTTTGAAGTTTCACGTTAAAATATAATTCATATACAATGCATTGAATTTTGTTAAGGCTAGTATTTTCATATAGATTATCTTATGGAGTAGCTGCAAGAAGTAGAAAATCACTTTGTACAAATAGTTTGTAGTCGAGACTTTTCATCTTTTGGCCATACGTTGTGAGCTTGTCATGACCGAGCCTGAAAGACGCCATCTTCTCGAACCGCAAGCCCGGTTCACTCAAAGAATATTAACCTTTACCGTCGCAGTGACATCTCGTGCGCACGTGCGTGATGGGCCCAGACTTCTAGCACGGTGCAAGAGGAGCGACCCTGAGTACTGTACTCCAATCGCTGCTCATGCGCAGATTATCAGCAGCCGGCACAATCGCAGGAAAATTGTGCAAAGAGGAATAAGGAGGCGGCAGGAGGGTACGAACAAGTTATGTATATCAGAATGAAGGGTGAGAAGTGGATTCTGGTTTCAAAGTTTGTAGAGCATGTGCAAAGGGGATGTCTCTCGAGAACGAAATCTATCGTGGGTTCGAACAGAATGAGGCAGTTGATATGCAAGCTGACAGCTCTGCAGCTGAATCTGAACTCCAGCTGAAGCCAAGACTAGTTCGTAGCAAAGATATTGATATTTGGACGCTAAATGTTATGGAATTCTTCGAAGTGCAAAAGCTTCAGATGTGAAGTACTCTGAGATGTGAAAGACTGGATTTATAAGTGGAGTGGGAGAATGCAAATCTAGCTGCATCAAGAATCTCGTGTGGACAGACCTTAAAACGGGTACTACTGGGTAAAAACACACAGATGTTCCTCCATACTCGGTGGATTGCCAAATTGTCTTAGAAGGTGGGACTAGATCTTGACTTTGTTGTTCAATCGAACAGGGTACGTGAGTGAATGCTTCAGTGCGAGAATACAGTCGAAGTCGTCACGCGACTTTAAACTCTATCTTCATGGAATCTTTGATCTATTCAAGCAGCAAGTGGATGTATCCGACAACTGAGTGGCAGATGCGTAGTCAGCTCGGATGCCAAAGCATTTTTCTTGCTTTGATGATCTGTAGTAGTCTACATAACTCTACAGTACTCGTGGATTCAGACCGAACTGATCAGCTTTTTGGGAGTTTACCAAAGACAATGTCGAAGAATTGTGTGCAGAGAATGTGAATATTTGAGGTTCCCGATTGCTGGTATGATGGTTCTTCTAGCTCAACTGTGATGGGAGAAAGTTGAAAGCTTTTCACTTCCATTCAACTTTCGGAATTTCACTCTCAGCTTCCTCCGCTAGTCTCTCGCCCGGAGCCCCTAGCGCTTGTACTACACCTTCATTCTTGGAGATGCTTTCTTACGCTTTGTCCTTATGTTACAAATAATGACGTGATTATGAACGTTATAAAGACGTGATATCATACCACCATCACCACTACGTTGACTCCATTGTATGTAAATTACAAGCAAATATTATACACCACAATTGATCTTGATCATTTAGATCATAAAGCTTTTTTCTGTTCATAATCTAATCACTTAGAGCAAAAAATTAATTGTATCATGTAATACATCAATTTGATAAGATCTTCGTATTGACACAAATCAACATTAACTAGTGTGACCCTTTTCTCTCTCTTTTAAGAATCATCGCGTCTACGAGCTGAAATTGAGTCCTAAAATAACTGTGGCGCCATCGGAATCAATGGTGTCTCATTATTCCTTGTAACCTCAATCCAATGACCCTATCCACAACATTGCATATCAATAATCGGGATGGTAGCTCCATCCAACTGGTTATATATATACATATATATGTAACCAGAGAATCAATTATATACTTCTAGAAATCTCTAGAAGTAAGTATATATATATATATATATATCTATCATGAGTGAAAATTTCATCTCTTTATCTCTAAAGATCTCGAATTTCGATTTCGAACATTCGCAGACGTTATTCTGACATCTTGAACACAATTCTCGAACAGCCTCCAAATTCGATGGCGGGTCGGACTTCGAAGGCTGCATTGGCCGCATACACGTATGACAACTGGATCTAGGACGCGGTCACTAAATCCATAAAACACAACAGACCTTCATCTTGGTAATAAAACACTGTTCTTCGCCTCCAATCCTTTCACGAAAGCGCCATCTCCAGAGAGATTTCTACTTCTATATGTTGATTTTTCTAGTCAGACGATTGTTTCCTCACTCCTTGCACGTGCTCCGACTTATAGAAAGGGCTTCTGATATCTGCAATCTATGTTTTCTCCTGGGTGGACGGCCAAACGCTCACAAAAAAATTTATACTTCTCCACACGAGCATGAGCTGAATCTCTTTCAACACAATCAATTCTATTGATTATGTTGATCGTCAGTCCAAAACCTGGCAGCCTGCTGGCCTCGACATCCGTAGATGTTGGAGTCCATTTTCCAGTCATGACAGAATGGCAGGATGGCTTGTTCCACTGGGGCGTACACCAGAACCAGAGAGCTGATTTGAATGCAATAACGGGATCTTGTGATAGCTTTTCAGGAAAGGACAAGAGGCTGTCATCACCTATACCTTCGCCGCACAGTTTATAGTTGTGGTTCCTGAAAATCAAGAAATATGTCTCAACTTGATCAGAGCCAGCTGCATTTCGGCATCGATGCATGCGACAAGCTAGTTCTTCACAACATTACACTCTGATTTGCACGTACATTTCACAGCAGGCCATATATGAATAATTCCTAGACAATTTGACACGCTAGCTTCATCCCACAAATCTCAAAAAACGCGAATTGGTAAAACTTTACCCGCACAGCTGCAATGGCCCTCGACCGTGATAGCTTTTGCATGGATGACAAGGACCCTCTGGACAGTGTGTGCTTGGCGGGCAACATTGCTCCTTGTGTCGCAGTCCTGTGTCGCCCAAATCAAGGTGTGTCCACATTGAAACTGGTTAGCAGAAGTCGAGGACATTTCTGATATTTCAGATGTTTGTTCACCAATGGTATTGTGACTAGTTTCAATATCTCTTCAGTTGCAAAAAAATCCGAACATGGAAAAGATTTTTTCAGATGAGGATACTGCAATAGGTTACTAAGAAAAATAAAAACAGCGCGACCAAATGCATCACTTCAATCACTTACCACAGCTTTCATGGTCAAAATGGGCAAGAAGAGCTGCGATCTCCCTTTTCTGGTCATCCTCGGATACATCGACACCAAATCCTTGTGGGACAAATGTCACAGCAGCCTCAATGAAGGCCGCGTATTCGTAGAAAGGGTTTTTCTTAGGAAATAATTTCAAGAACAGCTTCCGGGGAAGAATTGCCTTGAAATTTTCAGCTGTCGGATCAAAGTTGGGCATGGAGTTGCGACTAGGCTTTCTACTATTCGTCAGGATAGAATCCAACCAATCTTCCATGCATTGATAATTAACGTTTGCTGTTGACTGATGTTTGCAGACATTAAAATGGTCGCCAACTCCATACCGGAACAATTCGCAGTCGAATCTGGCCGTTCCCTCTGTAACAAAGGTTCCTGATCTTTGCAAACTGCCAGGCTGCATCGCAATAGAGCGATTATATAGACTTAGTTACTACATAAGACAAGACGGCTCAGCAGACTTTTGAATCATAATAGAGTACGCAGTGACATGAGCGACAGAACAGAAGTCAAGCACATTACAGTAATCCCCAGCTTTATAGTCTCTCCATCATGTCCACATGTCAATCTGCAGCTCATGCTCTCACCAATAATAAAGGTCTGATATAGAAGCTGAATTCTCCTTTCCTCTCAGAAGACCATCATAAACTGAAAAAGAGTTGAAAATAAACTGCAAACCTCTGCAACCCGAAACATCTCATGAGAATTGACATCTCAACTACCACTTTCAACCGTGATCGCAAGAAAGACTCACCTTTCTTGATGATGTTTGATGTGACTCGCAGATAGTCAAAACCGTCCACAAAAACCTCGATTTTCGCCTCTCCTTCATACGGCGTCGAAGGCTTGCGAAAGCTTCATTGAGTCGACTGAGTTCTGCGCTGTGTGGTCTTAAGCAGTCCGTCAGTGTATTACTTTGACCAGACTCATTGGCATACAGATCCCATTTGACTCCGGAGTTGAAAGGAGAATAGAACACAAAGCCGCCTACGTTTTCCAAAAATTTCCTCCTTTTTTCTTCGTTCTCCGCAAATTGTTCACTCGCTTTGAGCATGAGATTCTTAATGACGAAGCATCCCAGACCATGTCCGACGAACAAAACTGGGCAGTTGGATGTCAACCCAACCTTGCTTCTTGGAAGGAAAAAGTTGACCATTAGATTTTCTGCAATGGTGAACAAGGAATTCATTCGGCCCTGGGTACTATTCGTAATCACACAAGCATCATAAGACACCGATAATATACGAGCTCTTGGGAACTTTTTTCCCAAGAATTCTCTCGGCCAGCATGTGCCATCGTCGTTGGTCCATGTGGTTTTCCAGGCATCTTCAGAGCCTTCAGTATATAGGTCGTGCACAAATATTATCTCCATGTCGTAAGGTCCATACGATGGTTCATACAGCACAAACAGTTCGTCATTGATGCGATTGGCGAACATAGATGCCGTCTCAGTTGCAAGTGCGTCGGAAACCTTTTCTTCTGGAACCTGTGCCTTCGACAAACATGAAGATTAAACTCAATGTCATAGCACATTTAAGAAACATGACGAACAAAATTAAATATTCATTGTGGCTCTAGAATCGACCGAGCATGAAGAGCCTCGGTCCACTACGCCGCTTGTGGCGCAGAATGTGAAAACCGGCCGCAACTGGAATGTGTCTTCAGATGTAAGATCTTGTGGAAAGTTCGTTACAGTTCATATGACAGCAGATGCAGGAGAAGGATGAAGAATTCACCTCATTTAAACCGTCAGTCTTCAAACTCCCATCTGAACTCCTGACGCCTGTAATCACGTTCATGTAACCGCTGTTCTGTACCATCGAGATGTCGCTGAGAATGAGTCTATGGTGTCTGCGATCCTTCTGCTCTCTGATTCCATTGCACTGCTTCTGGTATTATCTTCCAGACTTATTAGTGGTCGTTCCTCTCGTTCCTCTCCCGATTCCAGCTCACGCGTCAAACGATGAGAAGATGAATGAAGCACCTACGAAGTTTCTTTCAACCTCTGAATGCCATACGGAACCTGAAAATCTAGAAGGGTATCCAGTAGGATGACGTTTTCTAGATTCGAATTCTCAAAAAGCTACTGGCATCTAGATAATTATTGAGCATAATATGAAGATTGCGTGCTCAAATGTTTCACCGGCTCTTACCTGTTCCATCTCTTGGAGATTTAAGCCTGAAAGCTGTTATGACCTGAACAGATCCCAACAACATAGCAACTTTGATTGGACGGAGAGCTGGCTTCGAGTTCAAGTTTGCGAAAATTTGAACAACTATAAATCCCAAGAAAATTATTTAGATTCTGTATCATTCAAAAATCAACTCAAACACGATGTTTCAAATTTCAATGTGATGGGGAAAAATAATGCATTTTGAAAAATACCTTATTTGACTTTTTTCTTAAGATGATATTCATGGTGATGAACCTCAAGATAATTTTTTGTTTAGTTCATTGCTTCTTGTTAAATAAAACTTTCATGTTTAGCTAATCTCACTACACAGTTTTTACTCCCAATAATGATACATATTGGTGCTAAGTTTTCACGTCTCTATTGGGAAGTGTCACTCAAACAAGCTTGGGTAGTATTTAGCAGATCATATAGAAATATTCTTATTACATGTTTCCCGGATCCACTAAATATATAACAGATAATTTGGCGGATAGTATATTTCTTGACATCTTGTTTTTGAATTTAAATATGGGATTGTCTTCAGTAAACATAGGTCGTCAAAGTAAAACACAGTTATAAATTAAAGACAATGAGTGAATAGAGCTAAGGTAAATCAAAGTCATAAATAGTGAATAAACGGAGTGGAGGAAATTCGTAGAATAATTTGAGTTTTTTTTACACCTGTAAAATGGTTGTTATAAAAAAACGAAAATGCATGATTATAAATATGTTTTAATAAATCAAGTTTACAGAACCAACAATTATATTTTTCCTCTAATCACAAGGGGGAGTGCAAACGCAGGAGCAAGTGCAAGGAAGTACTAGTGCAGCGAGGGGAGCCTAACGCATGGTACATGGTGTAGTTCCGCTATGATACTGTACAGCAGGAGGCGAAGTTAAAAGTTGGGAATTGGGCTGGAGTAACAACAATAAAGTTTCAAACTCAATTTTTTTTCCAAATTACAGTTGGAACACTCACTATTAAATAATATAATGTGGTTATTGAATAAATCTACATTTAAAACCTGATGGCTCTTGAGTTCTATTTCACTAATAAGAAGAGTTGACAGTGTTCGGAGGTAAAAAGTGGTGCAGAGTGAAACCTCCGTACCAGTTTTTATGCAGTTCAATTGATAGTATCAGGTATTATTTACAAATTTTACTAAACTCTTGTTGGAAAGTGTTCGGGAGAGAGAGAAAAAGAGATCAATTTTCTTGAAAGGCGATATCTTGTATATATTCGAAGGTTCATTGAGATGTTGCTCTAGACTGGAACAGAAAACTGCCTAGAGCAACCATATATATATACAAGATGACCATCTCGGTTGGTACACGTGGCAGGTTTGACACGTGAACCAACCACGATAGTCATCTTGTATTCGAAGATTCATTGAGATGTTGCTCTGGACAGTTTTCTGTTCCAGCGTTGTACTTTCCGGCCCAAGGTTGCATGTCAAATTAGTTTTACTGCAAAATTGTAGTATTTCCAGAAGGCTATTTCAAGAGTAGATTGTTGACTTCCTACGTCATGGATTTTTGGATTGTCTACATCTGGACGTTCAATCAATAGATTGATGACTTTCGGTACATGAATCTGGCCAGATTTATTCTATCGGGGGAGAAGCAGCCGCTCAGAAGGCGTCATCAGAAGACGACGGTCAGGGCTTCTCTGATGCGCCTCTCGTTTCGTTCTCTATGGATGTACAAGTGGACAATGTCAAGCTCACTGTACGTGCATTTAGTATCGACGACAATGTCAGCCCCATGCTGAAAAGGGACGATGTACTGCTCATGAGAGGAGCGACCACTATTAAGTCTGGAAGATAATACCAGAAGCAGTGCAATGGAATCAGAGAGCAGAAGGATCGCAGACACCATAGACTCATTCTCAGCGACATCTCGATGGTACAGAACAGCGGTTACATGAACGTGATTACAGGCGTCAGGAGTTCAGATGGGAGTTTGAAGACTGACGGTTTAAATGAGGTGAATTCTTCATCCTTCTCCACGCATCTGCTGTCATATGAACTGTAACGAACTTTCCACAAGATCTTACATCTGAAGACAGATTCCAGTTGCGGCCGGTTTTCACATTTTGCGCCACAAGCGTCGTAGTGGACCGAGGCTCTTCATGCTCGGTCGATTCTAGAGCCACAATGAATATTTAATTTTGTTCGTCATGTTTCTTAAATGTGCTATGATATTGAGTTTAATCTTGACGTTTGTCGAAGGCATAGGTTCCAGAAGAAAAGGTTTCCGACGCACTTGCAACTGAGACGGCACCTATGTTCGCCAATCGCATCAATGACGAACTGTTTGTGCTGTATGAACCATCGTATGGACCTTACGACATGGAGATAATATTTGTGCACGACCTATATACTGAAGGCTCTGAAGATGCCTGGAAAACCACATGGACCAACGACGATGGCACATGCTGGCCGAGAGAATTCTTGGGAAAAAAGTTCCCAAGAGCTCGTATATTATCGGTGTCTTATGATGCTTGTGTGATTACGAATAGTACCCAGGGCCGAATGAATTCCTTGTTCACCATTGCAGAAAATCTAATGGTCAACTTTTTCCTTCCAAGAAGCAAGGTTGGGTTGACATCCAACTGCCCAGTTTTGTTCGTCGGACATGGTCTGGGATGCTTCGTCATTAAGAATCTCATGCTCAAAGCGAGTGAACAATTTGCGGAGAACGAAGAGAAAAGGAGGAAATTTTTGGAAAACGTAGGTGGCTTTGTGTTCTATTCTCCTTTCAACTCCGGAGTCAAATGGGACCTGTATGCCAATGAGTCTGGTCAAAGTAATACACTGACGGACTACTTAAGACCACACAGCGCAGAACTCAGTCGACTCAATGAAGCTTTCGCAAGCCTTCGACGCCGTATGCAGGAGAGGCGGAACTCAAGGAACTTGTGGACGGTCTTGACAATCTGCGAGTCACATGAAACAGCATCAAGCAGCGTGAGTCTCTCTAGCGAGCACCGTTGAAAGTGGTAGTTGAGATTCTGATTCGCATAAGATGTATCGGTTTGCAGAGGATTGCAGTTTCTTTCCAACTTTTTCAGTTCATGATGGTCTTCTGAGAGGAACTGACAGTTCAGCTTCTATATTGGTCCATAATTTTTGGTGAGAGCATGAACAGCAGATTGACATGTGGACATGATGGAGAGACTATAAAGCTGGGGATGATTGCAATGTGCTTGTTGTGTCGAAATTTTTAATTCCTTCTTGAGTTCTGCTGCTCATGTCACTGCGTACTGTAGTATGATTCAAGAGTGTGCTAAGCCGTCTCGTCGTAAGTAGTGACTAAATCTACATAATCGCTCTATTGCGATGCAGCGTGGCCGCTCGCAAAGATCAGGAACCTTTGTCACAGAGGCAACGGCCAGATTCGATTGCGAACAATTCCGATTTGGAGTTGGTGACCATTTCGGAGTCTGCAAACATCAGTCAACAGGAGACGTTGGATATCAATGCGTCGAAAATTGGCTGGATTCTATCCTGAAGAGTCAAAGAAAGCCTAGACCCTACTCCATGCCCAAATTTGATGGGACAGATGATGAAAACGTTTTGAAGGCATTTTATCCCCAATTTGATGGGACAGATAATGAAAACGTTTTGAAGGCAATTTCTCCCCAATTTGATGGGACAGATCATGAAAACTTGTTGAAGGCTTTTCTTCCCCGCGAGCCGTTCATGGACCCTTCTCCTGACAAACTCCCTTCCTACAATTCCGGAGAACTCGTTCTCAAGTTTTTGTCAGACATTGTTACAGGACAGGACTATGAAGCAGCCCTTCTAAAGTTTAGTTCAGACATGGATTCACTAAAAGAACAGGCGTATGAAGCAGCCGTTCTAAAGTTTTGTCCAGACATTGACGTTTTGAAGGCAATTTCTCCCCAATTTGATGGGACAGATCATCTTGGAACGAAGTGCTAGAAACCACTGATGATAATCAGTTTCTGTGTACTGCAAGGTGTGACTATATATAAACATATATAAAGGAGCAAAGGTCCTAAACTCTAAACCTTAAAACTTAAACCTACCCCTAGACATAATCTCTGTAAGAATACCATTCCTGGAGTGCAAAAGACTTATTCCAGAATATGAATAGACTTCAAGGCCAAGGTAGTATCTATGCTGGTTAAATTTCAATCTAGGAAGTGATTTGGTCAGCATGTCCGCCGGGTGTAATTTGGTAGAGAGGGATTGAACTGTAATTTCTCCAAGAGTCATCCGCTCTCGAATAAAATGATGTTGGTTCCCTATGTGTTTACTCCTTGCATGGAAGACAGGAATTTTAACCAAGTTCAATCACGCTTTGATTGTCACAGAGAACGGTTGTTGACTCGCTTATTGAGCCAGGAATTTGAAGTGCAGAAGTTACCTTACCGTCTTTGCAAGATAGTTTTATTGGGGTCATCATTGTCGGGTTGACTTCGTGCATAGGTTGTCACAATCAGATGGCTTGGTGTGCTCCAAAGGGATAGGGCTGTGTATTCGCTCTCAGTTGATGAAACTGAAACAAAATCTTGTTTCAGTTTCAGTTTCTTGCAACACCATGAGACTGCTACGCTTGTAGTGGTTTTTAGGTACTGCAATGATACGCATTTTCCAGATGAGCTTTTTCTGGTGATGCCATGAAACGCGATAGTTGTCTCACATCAAAGCAATGTCTAATCTTGAATTTGTAGATCGTAGAAGACGAGTTGATGGAGTCGCAATAGTGCTGTCACGCAAAAGTAATCGAAGCTTCGAAAGCTTGTACAAACTGTTGCGTGGGTACGGTTCTTCTTGGAGTAGCACTTTAGGTGAATTGCCTTTTACAGAAACAAAGCTTCGAGTGGAAGCTATGTGACCAAGCTCCGTGAGTTCACCGATTGAGTGCAGGTTACGCTTCACACCAGACTCGTAGAAAGCATTGAAGATTTTGTTTTCATTCAAAGTAAGAGATCCTTTGCTTGCAGTCCTCAATGAAAGATGTTCAGATTGCTTTTCAAATGTGATGAAGCCCCACTATCAAAAGACAATGATTGCTTTTCTTTAACTTGACTTAAGAAGGGAGACAGTACATTAGCTGCATCATTGTTGTCAAGAGGCACCGGGTCATGGTCAGATGACCCGGTGCCATGGCCTCTTCAAAGCCAACCTTGCAGTGATCGTCAACACCATCAAGGTAAAACTCCATGTTGTTGGCTTGGGATCGCTTGGCGTTCTTCTCAATTTGTAGGAGATTTTCACGGAGTTGAGTTGTTGCTGAAGCTTGTGTTGCTTGCATTCGTAAAACCAATGTCCATCATCACCGTAGTTGTTGCAGGTTGATGCTTGGAGGAGCTAAATGAGAGGTGCAGCTCCTTTGGTGCTCATATGACATATCATGAGGACGCTTTGAGAATTGACGAGACTTTGAGTAGCGTTGTGAGAAATAGCCCCGAGAGTAATCTCGAGATTCAGATCTACGGGTTTACTCTGGGTAGACTCGATTGTACTGAAAACGTTCATAAGAGAATTGTCTTCCTTTATTCTTTAATATGACTCTCGCTCTCATTCATGATCTTCTTCTCGGCTATTGAGATGGTCATCGGGGCAATTATAAGGAGATGTCTTGTCCTTTGTGACTGCAATTAAAGACTCAGCAAAACCTCCATAACCATTAGATCTGATTTCACGCCTCATTTATCATCAATTAGAAGAATGAAAAGCTGGGGAGGGTGTATGTATTGTGAATCATGCTAGCTATAATTGAGGTAACAAAACCATCTGAGCTAGGTAAATTCATGAGGATAAAGGGAATAAGTTCTGAATCTTTGACTTTATCGTTGCACTTAGAAATTTGATTAAGAAGATATTTCACTCCACGTGGATGAGTTTGGACAGATTGACCCTCTCGCATAATGAAATTCGAAAGTCAGACAATTGATTAGTAGGATTATTCACTGTACGCATATGATTATTGATAGATTTACCCTCCCGAACAATGAGATTTGTGAGTTTTAGACGTAATAGTTGCTTTAGATCTTTGCTGGCGGATGCAAAAAGGAGTCTCCAGTTTTTTTAAACATTAAGTATAGATCAGACATGACATATAGATGGTGTACAATGTGCTCACTCATGTTCATAATGATATAGTAGAGAGGAAAGTACTTGATGGGACCCTTTGGAAACTGAACGCTCTTGAAGGACCCAATTCCAAGGTCACCCTCAGCCATGTTCTTATAACCTACTGATTTGCTCTATAGAGTGTTGAGTGTTCGCCACTGTCGGGCCAGAGTATTTTGGCGACTAATGCTGTGGTAACACACTTTTTGTTTTTTTGCAGAATTTAAACAATTTTAGAAAACTAGTACCGAAGCAGTGTTTGTAGTTAGAAAAGGGTACGATAAATAGAGTGGATTGATGAGATCGTCACGAGGACACAAAGAATCACGTAGTCGGATGTACCAACGCCAATGTCTTCGGCGCCTTCGGCAAAAGCTCCTTTTCTGAGGTGTCTCTACTCACGCGCCTCCAGCGTATAAGGAAGCTACGCTTCCGGCGCAGACACCTCAGGAGAAGGTTTTGCTAAAAACGTCAGGAGAAGGGCCCGGACCTTTAAAGGCGTCCGACCATGAGTGCGCCTTCGGCGAAGCGCCGCTAGCGCGGAAAGGGAAAACCTTCATAACGATCGGGATACACGGTAGATCCAGTTGGTTGAAGTTGCATTAGAAAGAGCTCGAGACGCTTGTTCTAACGAGCCCAAGAGCGTCGGAGATGGATCAGGGACGGAGAAGTTATGAGCGTCGGAAAACTCGCAGCCGGACATGCGCCGTTCGCGCTAGGGTTCACAGCCGGAAAGGATTCCCGTACGCCCTCGGCGATGCGCCTTCGGCGGAATCACGCGCTCATAGGAGGAAACCAACTCAGAGTCGGAAGCGCCTTTGGCGGCTGTTCATGGAAGGAAAGCGCCGGTCGGATGTACGCCTCCGACGTGGCGCTGACGGCCGGATGCGCTGGCATGAGTTGCGCTGACGGATATGCGCCGGCAGCAACGGACGAGGCATAAAGGACAAAATAAGCGGTACGACTGCGCGCCGGCGTAATTCGCTCCGACTAGATGTGCGCCTCCAGCAAGGCGCCGACGGATAATGAACGCACCAGCGGCGACACGCCTCCGGTGAGGGACGGGTTAGGAAAAGACAACAGGGCCGGCGTATACCCTGCAGCGGACTCGAGTCCGGAAGGTGGCGGCGGCGGGAGAATTCAACATTTACGCATGCGAATGCGCGCAGTGCGGAGACGTGAATTCGCGCATGCAAAGGGCGAACCGTTAAGCCGTATAGCCGGCTGCGTACGTTGTAACCAGTAAGAACGTTGGACGTTCTTGAAATCGGAGAAGAAAAGACTGCGCTCCAGTCTCATTCTCTCATTCTTGATTTTGCGATTTCCAGTTTCCAAGATTACGCGCAAGAGCGGAGCGACCTGCAGTGGGAGTAGAGAGTGCGGAGACGAGTTGCGCAAGGATCTTGGCAGACCTTGGAGAGAATTGCGAGTAGCGATCTTGAGCTTGAGCGCAGAGAGAGTGAGCAGTCAGTGCTTGAGCGACCGACGCGCAGTGGCGATTGTGAGAGAGCGAGCGAAAGGGAGAACGTTTGTGTGTGCAGGCAACGCAATGTCGAAGGTTCCCCAGCTGCGAGTGTCTCCACTCAGGGTGCCGTAGATCGGTCTACGCGCATTTCAAGATGTGCTGCTGAGGCTAAAGCTCGATTTTCTCCTATGGGGGTGGAACTGGACATGTCCGGAGATGGTGCGCGAGTATCTGCAGGAGAGACACAAGCCCTCTCGCGGATTCCGCCCACACCCAGAGAGATGGGACATTTGCAACTGGGCGCAGGTGTTGGGCAGGTGTGCCGGCGAGGAAGGGGATCTCCTCTTCGAGGCCGATAGCGTGAAGGTGTCCCAGGAGGAAGAAGTCTCTTACAATGAGCTCTTCAAAGTTGCCAGGCATCCCAAGAACGGTTTCCGGACACGGGATTACAAAGATCGATTGCGGAGAAATGTCGCGACTGCATTGCTGCAGATATTGCAGCCGACCAAGACCGCTTACATGCATGGTTGGCAGGTAGAATTTGTGGAGCGAGTGTTGTCAGGAGCTCCAGTGCATTGGGCACGGCTCCTGTGGAAGGTGACGCGCCAACATGCGCAAGAAGAGAAAGGAGGAACCCTCAATCATCTCTCGCCTTACTTGATCGTGTTTTATCGAGCGATGGGATGTTTGACAAATGCTGAGAAAACACGGTTTCCGCAGCTGACCCGAAACTATCCAGGTAGATATTCGAGGGAGGCCGAAGTAGACACGGATCCGGACGAGGAACCTGCCAGTACGCCTCCGGCTCCGGCTCCAGCAAGAGCAGCAGAAGAACGTCGAAGTGAGCGCATTCCGCGAAAGCGGAAGTGGGATGAGAGACCTGAGGACAGGCAGCCGGAAGTGCCAGCTGCGCCGACTCGTGGTCGGCCCACCCCCGAGCCTCACAGTCGACCAAAACAGAGGGCACGCAAAATGCCAACTGGTACTGAGGAGACCGGGCGAACTCCGACCCGGCGGAATCTCACACAGGAGGAGATAATCGCTCAGATTCTAGGGAAGACGGCAGATACCTCTGCACAGAAGGCACCACGGCCTTCGGGAGGAGATGGACGGACTGACAGTCGGCCGACTGCGAGTCGGATGACTGAAGGCCGACAAGCGGAAGGAAGGCCAACTTAACGGCGCGTTGAACCGGACAGCAGGCCGGAAGCAGAAGAGAGTTTGGCTGACGAGCCAACAATCCTCAGAGGGTCGTCTTCGGCGGAAGGCACTTCTGGGAAAACGCCACCAGCAAGCAGGCCAAGTGGAGTCAAGACGCGCAGGGTGTATCCGACTCCCAGTCGGACAACTGCTGGTCGGCCGACTGCGAGTCGGACAACAGAGAGTCGGCCGGATTCGCCGACTGCGAGACGGATAGGGCCAACGACTAGTGTGCGGACGCCTTCGGCGGACGCACCTTCAGCGAGGACACCTTCCGCGCAGATTGCGCCGGAAGGACAGGCAGCAGAAGCGGGCGGTGCAAAAGTGACAAGAGTCACTGCGGCGTCGACCCCTTCAGAGACCGAAGATCGAGCCGGAACAGGGGCTCAAGCAGTGGGATCTCCCACTGCCCTGGATATTTTAGCGGGCAGTGGAGCAGCAGTCGCAGCGGAAGCTGCTGCGCGCCACAGTTCCAGGGAGTCGCCAAGGGATTCGGTGGCGACTGAAATCCTCGAGACTGAGGATGAGACGAGCTCGGAAGAACAGGAAGCAAATTCGGTACAGAAAACGCCAACAGGGGTGCTGTGCGAACAGATAGTTCCACTCCTGCGATATCTGGATCGCAAGACATCCAAATACGCAAGTGCTTTAAAACCGCAGTCTTATGTGGAGACTATCAGGCGGAGGACGAGGAGCAAGGTGGCAAAGTGGGCCTCTAGGTGCGGAGTATATGTGGATAGGAACACCGCCCTCCGACAACACCTGGCGGTCACACAGAAGCTATACCAAGCCTTGCAGCAGCAGAGGGAGGATGCGGCGACGAAAAGTCAGGCGGATGCCGAGCTAATACGGGCAAAGATCGAGTCGGAATTGCAGGAGGAGCGGAGACAAAACCAAGTCCTAGCAGCCGAACTTACGCGCCAGACGCGCGCCTTAGAAGAAAGTCAAAGAGCCCGCAAGGAGTATGAGGAGTTGTTGCGCAACTTGCAATCCGAGTGCTCGGATTTGAGGGCACAACGTGCGGAAGCAGAAATGCAGCTGGCAGAGGTAGAGAGCAGCTGCAGGGCGCGAGGAGAGTTGGCGACACAAGTGACTCGTTGTCTAAAAGGATACGCCCATTGGGAGGTGGCAGCTCAAGAGAGGATCACACTCAGGGAGTTCGAGCTTCGGGCGGCGGCATTGACGGAGGGTGACAGTCGGAGTCGGCGGCGAGTGGCGAGAAAATTAGAAACCTTCTTGTCGGGTGCGCGCGACACTATGGCGCACTTACAGTCGGAAGTCACCACAGCGCTCCGACGCCTGGGGTTACGCAGCCGGTCGGAAGACTGGCAAGGTAGAGACAGTAAGCGGAGCAGTCCGGCGCGCAGGAGGCGCAGCACCGGATCAGCCGAGTGCAGTAGAGTAGTTTGGTTTCGCGCAGATGCTGCGAGTAGTAGATAGGATAGCATAGTGCTAGTTAGGATCTTTTGAGGGTATAAAGTAGATCAAGGCGTTTTGCCTTGGGACTCTTCCAGTTTCGGAAGTGCAGATCAGGAACTCACTTTCTTGGCGTGTTTGTGCATTTTTGGTCCTGGCACCACGTAGAGAAGCTGCAGCATAGCGAAGTTACCGTATGTTGTAGTTGAAGGCCTTCGGCTGAATGTTCAGAGCTAGCACCCGGTTAGAGACTTGAGTAGTGCGGATCTGCACCTGCGGGTGATTTCTGATGCTCAGAGCCGGCTGCGAGTTAGATACTTGAACAGTTCCCCCTTACTCCTTCGAGTGACATATCCTGATTGTACTCCTACGGGAAGTTTCCCCTGAATGCCAATGTGAAGTTTCATTACTTCGTGTAAACCTTGGTTTGTAATTCAGGTTGTGTGTGTGTTACTGGATCGTGTTTTCAGAAAGTTCTCAGTCGGGTCTGCACTCCCTGCGTTTGGTGTGATAGTCGAGGGTGACATCCACGGCGTATGTAGAGGCTTCGTTCCGAAGTGGGAAGTCCAGTCCGGGTACCCCCGCTAGTTCCTGGCGGAAGGGCAGTAAAAGCCGGAGTGGGAGACACTACCTGCAGAACCTCTGAGTGAACTTGTGAGACACTTTCCTCCTGAAATCCGAAGCGGAGGTCCTGACCGACCTCCGAGTTGTGCTTTTTGCCAGTTTCAGGTGTGTGTGTGTGTGTGTGTTGAGTGACCACGCTGTACCGTGCATCCTCCGAGCATCCTCCGAGTCGAGATCCTCCTCCGAGTCGAGCCTCCGAGTCGAGCACTGCAGTATTTCTGGGAGTGACAGTCGCCTAGAATTCAAACTCTACAAAAGTCTGTTAAACGTGACACTTTTACTCTGTGTGTTGCCTCTGTCCCTGTGGGTTCGATCTTTTTACCACCATACTGCAGTTTTAGCCTTTGGTGGGTTATTACAAATGCGCAGCCATGTCTAAGAAAACGAAGGACACCATGAGTCTGAATCACGCACGATATGGTCTTGCCGTTACTACTCGAAATAACCCCAAACCCTATTGAAACATCACTGACGGTGGGGCTGCAATCCGTCGGTAAAATGAAACCCGTTGGATCCCATCAGTTTTCAGTTTCCCCGGGTTCCATCAAGTAATTTCCTCTATAGTAGATATCGTAGTCACGTAGTCTGAGAACCCTGTTCACCGCCTGTCGTTATTGCTTTGCAGTCGCTGCTGCCGTATGTGCTTGACCTGTACATCCTTCCATAACATCTAGTTCTGGTAAAAGCGTCGGAGCAGTCGGAGAAGTAGTGCGCTTCTCGACATCTGCCCAACACTTTTTCTTGTCTAGAGTAGCCAACATTCGCACAACCCAGGAAGTACAATGACCTTTCTGAGTTGGTTCCATCTCCTTTGCTTCTTTCAACCTGTCCATAACTCCTATCAAGAGGGCAGAGGGAAACGATGCTAACGTAGTAAGTCGATGCATTCGCAATCTTGACATGAGCATCGATAAATACTTAGGCTATGAATATTATGTTAGAAACCATTGTTAATAATCAACTTTTTAAATTAAACATAATAATAAAGTGTGCTTATATATATATATATATACACACACAAAGGTCCTAAAGCTAAACATTAGCACTCTAGAAAAAATGAGTGTGCTCACATACTATTTGAGCAAAGGTCCTAAATCCCCATATTTAAAACCTACACATTAGCGCTCTTGAGAATACCATTAGTGTTTCGGTAATTCTAACACGAAGAGGAAGAGGTAGCATCAGAGGGATTGCGGACTTCGGCCAGGGATTTCAGATGTAAGTCTCTATTGAGACCGCGAAGTATAATAAACGGATTGGAGAGGTATCTGAAAGATTGTGGATCTATCCAGTTTGTGAATTGATGGTATCTCTAAAACAAGGTCCTAGATCTACAAAGTCCAATATCCACTGCTTTTGCAGGCGTTGTTTTATGGATCTATGTTTGCATCAATACAGCTACCTTCAAGCAAAAGCTCTGATTGCAGCTGCTTAAGGTGGCAACGCGTCTCCGCGACTCCCGAGGTGAAATATATGTGGGAATCAATTTGACTTTTAGGCGTCAATTTAGTCTCATCCTTGAAACAGTCATAGATTCCAGCTCATACGATACTCGAGATGAAGATGCATGAAGCACCTACCAAGTTTCTTTCAATCTCACAATGCCATTCCAAACCTATAAATCTAGAACTGTATCCAGTGAGTAAAGTAGGATGACGTTTTCTAGATTCGAACTTTCCATAAGCTACTGTACATTTTTATTGAACATAATATGAAGAATGCTTGCTCAAAAGTTTGACCGGGTCATACCTGCTCCATCTCTTGGAGTGTAATGCTTGAAAGCCTTTATGACCTGAACACATCCCAGTAACATAACCAATTGATTGGTAAAGTTGATTGAACGAAAAGCTTCCTTTGAGTTCAAGTTTACGAATATTTGTTCAAGTTTGAACAAATATTAAAATCGAACAAAATTCAAGAATATAATATCATTCATGAAATCAGCTCAATCATCAAATATTTGTTCAAATTTCATTCTGATCGGAAAGAAGAATAGATTTCAAACATATTGAAAAACAACGTATCTGACTATTTACTCAAGTTGATATTAATTTGAAATTTTTTAATCAATGTTCATATTATTTTCTTCCTTTTTAATAAAACTTTGATGTTTTACCGATCTCACTATCACTTTTGGATGCAACACAATTGATAGAATCAAGTATTGATTGGAAATTTTACTATACTCTTCTTGGCAAGTGTTTGGGAGAGAGAGTAAGAGATTAATTTTATTGAAAGGCGATCATCTTGTATATGTTGGAAGATAAATTGCGATGTTGCTCTAGGCAGCTCTTTATTCTAGCTTTGTAGGTTCTGGCCCAATGTTGCATGTCACATAAGTGTTTTTTGGAAAATTCTAGCTTTTCCAGAATTGAGGGCTACTCCTATTGTGCACGAAGGTATCGTCACTAAGAGGAGTTGAAAGTATTAGACAAACTTACTTTCTACAAAAGAATTGAGGGGCTCCACTGACACTACTGCGAAAAAGTCACTAAATTGTTGACTTCCTACCTCTTGGATGTTTGGACTCTCTACATCTGGACGTTCAGTCAATAGAATGATGACTTCCGATCCAATGAATCTGGCCAGATTTATTCTATCGAGGAGAACGCAGCCGCTGAGAACGCGTCATTAGAAGACGATGGTCAGGGCTTCTCTGATGCGCCTCTCGTTTCGTACTCTACGTATGTAAAAGTGGACAGTATCGAGCTCACCGCATGTGCCTTTAGTATCGACGACAGTGTCAGCCCCATTTCATAAGGAACTAGGCGCTGCTCATGAGAGGAGCGACAACTATGAAATCTGGAAGGTGATGACAGAAGCAGTGGAGCGACAACTATGAAATCTGGAAGGTGATGCCAGAAGCAGTGCTGATGAGACCAGGGGGATCGCAGTGGCCACATAGTCGAAATCTCGATGGAACATAATAGCGGGTCCATCTCAAAAGCGGATCCATCTGGATGGAAAATAATAGCATGGCTATCTCCGATTCGTCTTCTTCTACAACTGATTAGACTCCTCTGGAGTTCAGATGAGATTTTGAAGACGGACGCTTCAAATGACGTAAATTCTTCATCCTACTCCACGCATCTGCTGTCCTATGAACTGTAACGAAACTTCGATGAGTATTTACAGCTGAAAAAATATTTCCAGTTGCGGCCATTTTTCACATTCTGAGTCACAAGCGGCAAAGTACACATAGGCTCTTCATGCTCGGTCAATTCTAGAACCACAATGAAAATCTTACCGTGTCCGTCATGTTGCTGAGATGTGCAAATGATCTTTATTAAACTGTTCAAATTTGTCGAAGGCGCAGATTCCAGAAGAAGAGAGTTCCAACGCACGTGCAACGGAGAATTTATTTACTATGTCCGCCAAACGCATGAATGACAACCTGTTGGTGCTGTATGAACCATCGGATGGACTACCTTACGACACGGAGATAATATTTGTGCACGACCTATATACTGAAGGCTCTGAAGATGCCTGGAGGACGACATGGACCAACGACGATGGCACATGGTGGCCGAGAGAATTCTTGGGAAAAAAGTTTCCGAGAGCTTGTATATTATCGGTGTCTTATGATGCTTGTGTGACTTCAAATAGTACCCAGGGCCGACTGGAATCTTTGTCCATCGTTGCAGAAAATCTGTTATTGAACTTTTTCCTTAAATTTAGCAATGTTGGGCAGACAAACAACTGCCCAGTTTTGTTCGTCAGGCATGGTCTGGGATGCTTCGTCATTAAGAATCTGATGCTCAAAGCGTGTGAAAGATATACGCATAACAAAGAGGAAAAGACGAAATTGGTGAGGAACGTAGGAGGCTTTGTCTTCTATTCTCCATTCAACTCAGGAATCAATTGGGATCTGTATGCATATGAGTCTGGTCGAAGGAATTCACAGACGGACTGCATAACACCAAACAGTGCAGAATTTTCTAGACTTAATGAAGCTTTCGCAAGCCTTCAACACCGTATGCAGGAGAAGCAAAAGTCGAGGAAGTTGTGGTCGGTTTTGACCATCTGCGAGTCACATGAAACAGCATCCAGAACGGTGAGTCTTTCTAACGATCACAGTTGAATGTGGTAGATGAGATTTTGATCTGCATGAGATTGTTTGAGTTGCAGAGTTCTGCATTTTTTTTTCAACTCTTCTTCAGTTTATGATGATCTTCTGAGAGGAACTTAAAATTCAGCTTATACATCAGTCCTTTCTTATTGGTTGAAGCTTGAACGACAGATTGACATATGGACATGATGGAGAGACTATAATGCTGGGGATGATTGCAATGTGCTTGATTCGAGATTTGTAAACCCTTCTTCTGTTCTGCTGCTCATGTTACTGTGAACTGTAGTATGATCCAAGAATCTGCTAAGCCGTCTCGTCGTAAGTAGTGACTAAATCTACATACTCGCTCTATTGCGATGCAGCGTGGCCGCTCGCAAAGATCAGGAACCTTTATTACAGAGGCAACGGCAAGATTGGAAAGCGATATGTTCCTGCTTGGAGTTGGTGACCAATTTAATGTCTGCAAACACCAGTCAACAGGAGACGTTGGATATCAATCCTTAGAACAGCGACTGAATTCTATCCTGAAGAATTATAGAAAGTCTAGTTCCAACTTCATGCCCGAATTTCATCCGACAAATGATGAAAACTTTTTGAGGTCAGTTCCTCCCCGGGAGCTGTTCATGGACCACTCTCCTGGCAGACTCCGTTCCTACACTTACGGATCCTACTATTCCTACAATTCCCACAATACCTACAATATCTACAATGTCACAGTCCATCATGGAGGCTGGGATGAGATATGACCAACAAAGATATGGTGTCGACGGATCCCTGGATTACCAAATAAGGGAGAACGAAGCTTTTCTTGCCCATTTTGACCCTGGAACTAGAGGTAAGTGTTTCTAAATTCATCATCTGAAAACTTATTATCCATGTTCGGATGTTTTTGCAGCTGAAGAGATATTGAAATTAGTCACAAGTCCCAGTGATGAACAGATCTATGAAAAATACAGAAATGTCCTCGACTCCTGCTGACCAGTTTCAACGTGGACACACGTTGATTTGGGTGACACAGGACTGCTATACAAGGAGCACACCCCTCCGGCAAGCACTGAATGTGAACCCAAAAACAACGTTCGCTGCATCCAAGAAGAAGCTATGAAGGTCGAGGGCAATTGCAGTTATGCTTGTAAAGTTGTACCAAATCGTGTTGGTTTTTAATTTGTGGGATGAAGCTAGGGAGTCAAACTGTCTAGGAATGATGTAAATATGGCCTGATGTGAAATGCACGTGCGAATCAGTGTGTAATGTTTTGTAGAACTAGTTTGTCGCATTTATCAATGCCAATGAAAAAGAAATTCGCCAGGTCTACGTTCTGGTATACAGCTGGTTCTGATCGGGGTGAAACATACGTGTTGATAACCGAGAACTAGAGCTATGCGGCCAAACTGTGCGGCCAAGGTATAGGTGATGACAGCCTGTAGGTAAGCTGTATGATTCGATGAAAAGATTGGTCGTAAAGAAAGATTAAAACTGAGTTCCATTCATTTTCTATTCCATGAAGAAAATTTTTGAAAGGAAATGAACGAAGGAGTTCGAACTTCTAGTGAACATTCCAAGGCGGACAGAAGAAGACATGGCTTTTAAATAGGCCAGGAAAACACAGAGCAGCAAATCAAAACTTAGGGTCTTAAAACAATCAAGTCACCATTGATTATGTGTCGCGTCCTCTGCCACAATAAGACACTGTCACTCTGTCTTGATTTCCTGCAAGCCTATACTTAGTGAAGGATCTTGAACGCGATTTTTCCACTATCGAGGATTTCAGTCGAAGGAGGTGGAGTGAGATTGACCAGTTTATTTCGCTTCACAAAGACAAAAGTTCGAGTTCGTAGCACGATTTCATGAATGATCAAGAAAGCCGATTCCATCTAGACTAATCTTCTCCATCAGACTCACAAGGAGGCATGAGCAATTCATTGTATTCTTGAATTCGGGATCACCAAAAGAATAAGGTACTTCGAACTATGCACTACCCTGCTAAATATTCTGCTCACTTCGTCTTCAAAGTAAGGAAAGGAAAGGAGTGAGACCACAAGATAGTGCCAAGCATTTGAGATTGTTTCTGGAGCTGCCTGTTTGCTTCCATCTCAAACGTGCGATCACAATAGTTTGTAACACCAAACGTGTAAACCCTTTGAAGAGAGCAATTGTTTACACTCTTCTCTTGCTTTCAATTTTATGACTAAGTCGTTTGCCATAAAATTAGCGCCGCAACATCATTCGTCACCGACAAGGATGCATATACATGTATGGAAAATCCACCTCTGTTCTTTAATGAAAGCTTCCGGAAAGTCAGTACATGCTTACAAGGGTCGGTCGTTTACAGTAGTCAGGAAAAGTCCAGGTCCACCTTCGACGGGGCACAGTTCCAATTCTTTCCACATTCAGTATCGATCAGACACCACAAATATATGGTGAACAATGTGCTCGCTAACGTTCATCATGATATAGAAGATGGCGATCGAACTACGTGGCGTCGTCCCGAAGTTCGAGAACACGGTCGACTTTCTCTTAGATCTCTTCCTTCGCCGTCTCTCGTTCTTGCTTGGCAATCGCTGCCGTGCTTGACTTGTTCATCGCTTGGTAACATCTTGTTCTGGTAACAGCGTTGACGAGTAGTGCGCTTGTTGACAACAGCCTAGCACTTATTCTTGTGTAGAATAGCCGCATTCGTGCACACCAAAAAGTATTCATATCGATGCCATCTAGCTTCTGAGTTGATTCCATCTCGTTGGCTTGTTTCAACGTGTCCATGAGTCCTATGAGGAGAACATAGGGAAAGAAAATGATGCTAACGTAGCAAGTAATTCATAATTTTAACATGAAAATACTTACCCTGTGAAAACCCTGTTGGAAACCCCTGCTGGTAATAAGAATTTGTGTTTAACAATATTAGTGTACATATATATATATGAGCAAAGGTACTTAACCTAAACCAAAATCTTTAAAACTAAACATTAGCACTATTAGAGTAGCATTAGTGTCTCGGTAATTTTAACACGAAGAGGGAGACGTAGCATCAGAGAGATTGCAGACTTCGGCCGGGGATTTTCAGATGTAAGTTTCTACCGAGACTCAGAAGAATAAGAAAGGGATTAAAACGATACCTGAAACATTGTGGATCTATCCAGTTTGTGAAATGATGGCATCTCAAACCAGGTCCTGGATCTCCAATGTCCAAGATTCACTGCTTTGCAGGCGTTGATTTATGGATCGATGTTTGCATCAATACAGCTACCTTCAAGCGAAAGCTCTAATTGCAATGGCTTCACGTGGAAACGCGTCCCCGCGACTCCTGAGGGCAAATATATGTAGGACTCGAGTTGAATTTTAATCGTCGATTTAGTCCCGATTCCAGCTCACGCGTCAAACGATGAGAAGATGAATGAAGCACCTATGAATTTCTTTCAACCTCTGAATGCCATACGGAACCTGAAAATCTAGAAGGGTATCCAGTAGGATGACGTTTTCTAGGTTCGAATTCTCAAAAAGCTACTGGCATCTAGATAATTACTGAGCATAATATGAAGATTGCGTGCTGAAATGTTTCACCGGCTCTTACCTGTTCCATCTCTTGGAGATTTATGCCTGAAAGCTTTTATGACCTGAACAGATCCCAACAACATAACAACTTGATTGGACGGAGAGCTGGCTTCGAGTTCAAGTTTGCGAAAATTTGAACAACTATAAATCCCAAGAAAATTCAAGAAAATAATTTAGATTCTGTATCATTCAAAAATCAACTCAAACATTATGTTTCAAATCTCAATGTGATGGGGAAAAATAATGCATTTTGAAAAACACATTATTTGACTATTTACTTAAGATGATATTCATGGTGATGAACCTCAAGATGATTTTATGTTGAGTTCATTGCTTCTTGTTAAATAAAACCTTCATGTTTAGCTAATCTCACTACCCACTTTAAACTCCCAATAATGATACATATTGGTGCGAGGTTTTCACGTCTTTATTGGGAAGTGTCACTCATACAAGCTTGGGTAGCATTTGGCGGATCATATAAAAACATTCTTATTATATGTTTTGAGTATCCACTAAATATGTAACAGATAATTTGGCGGATAGTTTAATTCTTGACATCTTGTGTTCGAATTCAATATGGAATTGTCTTCAGTAAACGTAACCTTGGGTCTTCAAGGTAAAACATAGTTATAAATTATGGACAATGAGTAAATAGAGCTAAGGTATCCAAGGTAAATCAGAGTCATAAATAGTGAATAAATGGAGTAGTGGAGTAAATTCGGAGAGTAATTTCAATTTTTTTTCCATCTGTAAAATGTTTGGAAAAAAAAATTGAAAGTGCATGATTATAAATATATGTAAATAAATCAAAATTACAGAACCAACAATTATATTTTTCTTCCAACACGTTGTGGGGGAACGCAATCATGAGGCAGGAGCAATCGCAAGGAAGTACTGGTGCAGCGAGGGAAGTCAAGGCATGGTACATGGTGTCACATGGGGAGATGGTCATATACAAGATGACCATCTCGGTTGGTACACGTGGCAGGTTTGACACGTGAACCAACCACGATAGTCATCTTGTATTCGAAGATTCATTGAGATGTTGCTCTGGACAGTTTTCTGTTCCAGCGTTGTACTTTCCGGCCCAAGGTTTTAGTGCAAAATTCTAGTTTTTCCAGAGGGCTACTCCCACTCTGCACGGAGGTCTCGTTAGTAATAGAGGTTGAAAGTCAGACTACTCACAGGTCTCGTTAGAAACAGGAGTAGAAAGTCAGACATCGAGTCGCAACTTACTTTCGACATAGAAATGAGGTACTCGACTGACACTACAGACTGCGGAAACATCACCAAAGAGTAGATTGTTGACTTCCTACGTCATGGATTTTTGGACTGTCTACATCTGGACGTTCAATCAATAGATTGATGACTTTCGGTACATGAATCTGGCCAGATTTATTCTATCGGGGGAGAAGCAGCCGCTCAGAAGGCGTCATCAGAAGACGACGGTCAGGGCTTCTCTGATGCGCCCCTCGTTTCGTAATATACGGATGTAGAAGTGGAAAGTGTCGAGCTCCCCGGAGGTGCCTTAAGTATCGACGACAGTGTCAGCCTCATCTCTTAAGCAACTATGTGCTGCTCATGAGCGGAGCGACCACTATGAAATCTGGAAGACGATGCTAGAAGCAGTGCCGATGAGACCAGGGGGATCGCAGTGGCAACAGACTCGTTCTCAGCGAAATGTCGATGGAAACGAAGAGCGGCTCCATCTGGCTATCTCCGATTCGTCGTCTTCGAGACGCGATTAAAGGCTTCTGGAGTTCAGATGAGAGTTTGAAGACATCCGCTTCAAATGACGTAATTCTTCATCCTTCTCCACACATCTGCTGTCCTATGAACTGTAACGAAACTTCGATGAGTACATACAGCTGAAAAAATATTTCCAGTTGCGGCCGTTTTTCACATTCTGAGCCACAAGCGGCGTAGTACACAGAGGCTCTTCATGCTCGGTCAATTCTAGAGCCACAATGTAAATTTTACCTTGTTCGTCGTGTTGCTTAAATGTGCAATGATCTTGATTGAACTCTTCACATTTGTCGAAGGCGCAGGTTCCAGAAGAAGAGAGTTCCAACGCACGTGCAACGGAGAAGGCATTTAGTTCCGCCCCTCGCCTCAATGACGAACTGCTTGTGCTGTACAAACCACCGGATGGACTACCTTATGACACGGAGATAATATTCGTGCACGACCTATATACTGAAGGATCTAAAGAAGCCTGGAGGACGACATGGACCAACGACGATGGCACATGCTGGCCGAGAGAATTCTTGGGAAAAAAGTTCCCAAGTTCTCGTATATTATTGGTGTCTTATGATGCTTGTGTGATTACGAATAGTACCCAGGGCCGAATGGATTCCTTGTCCATCGTTGCAGAAAATATGATGGGAAATTTTTTCCTTCAAAGTGGCAATGTTGGGCAGACAAAAAACTGCCCAGTTTTGTTCGTCGGGCATGGTCTGGGATGCTTCGTCATCAAGAATCTGATGATCAAAGCGTGTGTAAGATATATGTGTAACAAAGAGGAAAAGACGAAATTGTTGAGGAACGTAGGGGGCTTTGTCTTCTATTCTCCTTTCAACTCCGGAGTCCAATGGGATCTGTATGCAGATGAGTCTGGTCAAAGGAATTCACTGACAGACTGCATAAGACCACACAGTGCAGAACTTAGCCGACTCAATGAAGCTTTTCGAAGCCTTCGACGCCGTATGCAGGAGATGCGAAAATCAAGGGTGTTGTGGTCGGTTTTGACTATCTGCGAGTCACATGAAACAGCATCAAAAACGGTGAGTCTCTCTAGCGATCACAGCTGAAAGTGGTAGATGAGATTTTGATCCGCATGAGATTGTATGAGTTGCAGAGTTTTGCAGTATCTTTCTAACTCTTCTTCAGTTTATGATGATCTTCCGAGAGTAACTTAAATCTCTGCTTCTATATCAGTCCTTTATTATTGGTGAAAGCGTGAACTGCAAATTGACAGATGGACATGA